CGATACAAAAGGCAGAACAGAACAAAAAAAAAAGACAAAAGACGGGGAAAAAACATTGTTACATCAGTTTTATACATAGGTCAACAATGTTGCACATATATCAGGCCAGTGGGCACAGGCAATATAGTGATCTTGCAAACAATGAAAGGGTCATACCTTTAAACTGACATCCTTGACATTTGACATATAATTAAAAAAGGGTTTCCAGGTGGCTTCGAAGCCAGAGATGCTATCAGTAAGATTGTGTCAAAGACTCTTAAAATGTAAAGTGCTAGAGAGTTCAGAAAGCCAGAATTTAAAATGTGAAGAAGTGACAAATTTTTTTTAGCTACCTACATTCCATTTTGAATAATAATTTTGAATATTGACCGCAGGTGTTCATTTTGAGCAGTCGTCTCCAGAAAACATGCTCGCTGAAAGCGGTCGCACGGTCAGTATCGTCCGGAAAGAGAGAGATTTCCAGGGCATGCTGGAGTACAGGAGAGAAGATGAGAACAAACTCTTCAAAACCCTCATCACAGGTGAGCTGAACTTCAGCACAGAGGGGAAAATCAGTTCAGTCACCATCATTTTACAGTGTTTTGATCTGATATTTCTCCACAGACCTCAAACCTCGAGGTGTAGCTGTGAATCTGGTGCCAGGTCTGCCTGCTTATATTCTCTTCATGTGTTTGCGACATGCCGACTACGCCAACGATGACCTGCGGGTGTCCACCCTCCTCAACACCTCCATCAACAGCATCAAGAACACACTGAAGGTCAGAAACTCACGGAAAAATAATCCACTAAGATGAAAACACCAAGTGAAACATCTTTACAAGCTTCACATTGTCCATATACATGCAGTGGACCCTTTAAAACTGTTAGGTATTTGTGGATGTATACTGTTTTTATAGTATACAAGTTCACCCTTTTCAATGAGAGCCGTCTGTCTGTGTTTGCAGAAACGTGGAGATTTTGAGAGCATTTCATTCTGGCTGGCGAACACCTGTCGCTTCCTGCATTGCCTGAAGCAGTACAGTGGAGAAGAGGTAAGGTTGTTTTAAATACTAGTGTGTTGTCTACCTAAAAAACAATACTATAATACTCTTGGCATTTATAAGCAGTGCTGGGCAAAATAACTTACAATCTGTACTTTGTAAATAGGATTGATAAATTACAAAGAGTGTAATGTTGTTGTAGTAATGTAATAGTTAGAAATGGAATCTATTTTATTGTAAAATCTTGGATTAAATTTGACTTTTACATGTGTCTATATATCAAGTCAAGTGGAGCTATATTGTCATTCTGCTATATGTGTGGACATATCAGAGGAACGATATCGTGTCTCGCAGGACACAGGTGCTACATAAATTAATCATAAATACAAACACAACACTGGACATTGTGTTGCATAACTAACATAAACTATAAGATACTTAACTATACACATTAGACAGGCTATGCAAGTGCTTTTACATGAGACTGAACAATGCTGTGCAGGATATTGTGCAAGAGAGGTATAAAAGGTGAATATTGTGCAAAAGAGGTATTTAAGGTTTAATATTGTAAAAGAGTTATACCTATATTACTTTTAAGAATTTATAGTCATCTTTTTGAGTGTTTTTATTTTTTTTTTTGTAGTTTTTGCGAACTACTGATAACATTTCTTCCTAATTAAAATTATAAATGTTGTTTTTCACTTATTTGCAAATAGTTTATATTCATTTCTGATGTTACTGTGACCAGATTTGTGGAAAGCATCACTCTGGTATGACTATTATTATTATTATTATTATTATTATTATTATGAGCCTTTTTTACGATGTAAAATAAAGTGTATTAGACCTTTTTTTCAAAGATTACTCTACCAATACATAATAATTTCAGTGAAATCTCTTATCTTTCCATAGCTGTAAAAATAATTTTTTTTATTATTTAAGAAATGTAAATAAAAAGCTGTTTTAGTTTTTGAACAATAAGTATCCAGTAGTGCTTTTGGATTATAAGAGCGTTTTTTTTTTTTTTTTTTTTTTGTGCTCGGTACATATTTTTGTCTATTTAAATTTATGCTTTAACCATCACATTTCAATTACGTAATAAAACAGTTTTGTATGCCCAGTTTTTAATGTTATCTGACAACAATATTTAAAAATATGAATCCTTCAAAAATGGAAAAATTTATATCAAAAGTAAAACCTTAAAAACTGTTTTAGATTTTATTCTTATGCAGTATTTATTGCTATTGTGTATGTTGTATTAATGCTTTTTTTTTTTTTTTTTTTTTAAACTATTGTAGAAAGTATTTTTTTTTTTAAATGTTGTAAATTTGATCTGGTTTTCAATTAAATGGCCAGAGATGCTGATATGGCAATAAATTCAAAACTCTCTCTCTCTACTTAATATACATTTAACTAAAGTTAAACCATGTTCTATAACATAAAGACTAATGAAGCAAAAACAATGGAGCAAAAATTTTATGAGTAGAAAGCAAACAGTGTGCATGTGTAGTTTATGTGTTATTATTAATAATGTATTTAATGAATTATTTATGTGCATAAATGCTCACCTATTGTCATTATTTCTTCCTGACACCTTCAGGGATATTCAAAGCACAACACCCCTCGGCAAAATGAACACTGCCTGACAAACTTTGACCTGTCTGAGTACCGGCAGGTTTTGAGTGATCTGGCCATTCAGATCTACCAGCAGCTCATCCGCGTCATAGAAAACATCTTACAACCTATGATCGGTAACTCTACAAACACTTAGTTGAAGTCAAACTCTTAGCGTTCCTGTGAATTGCTGTTTCTTTTTTAAATATTTCCCAAATGATGTTTAACAGAGCAAGGAATTTTTCACAGTATTTCCTAAAATATTTTTTCTTCTAGAGAAAGTTTTTTGTTTTATTTTGGCTAGAATAAAAGCAGTTTTCAATTGTTTTAAATCATTTTTGGTTAATATTATTAGCCCTCTTAAAAATATATATTTGATTGTCTACAGAACAAATCATCGTTATACAATAACTTGCCTACTTTAACTTACCTAATTAACCTAGTTAAGCATCTTAATGTCACTTTAAGCTGTATAGAAGTGTCTTAAAAATATCTAGTCAAATATTATTTACTGTCATCATGGGAAAGATAAAAGAAATCAGTTATTAGAAATGAGTTATTAAAACTGTTATGTCCAGAAACGTGTTTAAACATATCTTCATTAAACAACATCATATACATGGGGGCTAATAATTCACCTGCTCATTTAATCTTTTCTTTATCTCAGCACCAGCCATGCTGGAGCAGGAGACCATTCAGGGGGTGATGGGTGTAAAGCCTACGGGAATGAGGAAACGCACGTCCAGCTTCCACGAGGAAAACTCTCACTCGCTGGAGTCCATTCTGAAGCAGCTGGATGGGTTTTATTTCACTCTGCTCCAGCACGGGAATGACGCTGAGGTGGTCCGGCAGGTCATCAAACAGCAGTTCTACGTCATCTGCTCCGTCACACTCAACAACCTGCTGCTCCGCAAGGACATGTGCTCCTGGAGTAAAGGCCTGCAGATCAGGTACTGACCACTAGAGGGCACTAAAGCCTCTTTTACACTTACACACTGCTGGAAAATTACCAGTAAATTGCCACGAAGAGATCATGTGAATATGGTTATGATAACAGTCCCTTTACGCATTTCCAGGTCCAAAAGGATCCATTGTAGTTGACTGATTTCTCCTTCTTGTTTTGGTGCAGGTATAATGTTTGTCAGCTGGAGGAGTGGCTGCTGGATAAAGATCTTCAGGGCAGTGGAGCTCGAGAGTCTCTGGAGCCTCTTATTCAGGCGGCGCAGCTCCTGCAGATCAAGAAGAAGAGCCAGGACGACGCTGACGCCATCTGTACTATGTGCACAGCGCTCACCACTCAACAGGTCTGTGTGTGTGTGTCAGAGTTACTCAGATGAATGCTTGAGTTTATTTATGATGTCTCTCTCTCTCTCTCTCTCTCTCTCTCTCTCTGTGTTTTTCAGATTGTAAAAATCCTCAGCTTGTACACACCGGTGAATGAGTTTGAGGAGAGAGTGTCTATATCATTCATAAAGACCATACAGGTGAGCTGTGGTTGTTTCCTTGATGAGTAATGTTTTGTCTTATTTTTATATGGACTTTAATGACATGTTTTTCATGGTTGTGTTAGTCATTTTTGAACTGTAGTTGTAATACAAAGTTATGTCATTTAGGCATATTAGTAAAAATGGCTGCTTGATAGAGTGAAGAAAATCATGTTATTATTTGTAATAATGCTAGATTTATTATAAAGAACGCATTTTATGAGAAGTGTTATTGATGTGACCTCAAAACAGTTACATTTGTGTCTGAAACCATAATATCATTCATATATTTACTGCGGGAAAGTGATTGTTAAACCATTTTTTTCAGAAAATATATTTCTAAAAGTGTTGTTGACTTAAAATTTACCCCAGATGTTGGGAACAACCAAAGAAATCCAGATATACAAGGAAAACAATATTAATTCATTTACAAATGAAGTTATGTGTAACAAAAAGAAATGGCGCAGGGAAAACATATTAAACACATGAAGAAAGGGAGGTGTAGAAGGCATGGAAAGCCCAGACAGCAGCTAAAATCTCTCAGTAGTTCTTCTGCAACCTTCTGCCCTTCATCATTGTAAATGAATATCAGCTGCTTCTGTCCAACATCTACATTAGCAGGATGAAACCCGGGTAGACATTTCAGCAAGACAATGACCCTAAACACAGCCAAGAAAACTCTTAAATGCTTTCAGAGAAAGAAAATCAAGCTGTAGAATGGCCCAGCCAGTCACCTGACCTGAATCCAATTGAACATACAAAATAAAGATCAGATTTGATAGACGAGACCCACAGAACCATCAAGTTTTTACACTTTGTCAATACTTTTTCAGTATCATTTTATTTTATGAGCACATAACTTCATTTATAAACTAATTAGTTGCATTTTATTTGCATATATGGGTTAATTTGGTTGTTAGCAACATCTGGAGAAAATGTTAAGTCAACAGCACCTTTAGAAACACATTTTTTGAGAGAAATTGTGACGTGTTGAATGCTTATTTTCCTTGCTGTATATTCTCATAGCTTTTTTTTCTTCAATTAAGTGTAATATAAATTATTTTAACCTGTTAAAACCTGTCCTAGGATAGATTTTGAAGATAATTTAAAGAAATTCTTCAATTTAAAGAGATAGTTTAACCAAAAATGAAAATTTTCATTTAGTCATCCCTGTTAAAAACCTTTGAGTTTCTTTTGAACACAAAGGAAGATATTTTGAAGTATGTTGGAAACCTGTAACCATTGACTTTCTTAGTATTTGTTTTTCTTACTATAAATGTCAATGGCTCTTCAAAATCTTCTGTGTTCAACAAAAAAGATAGTGCAGGGGTGTCCAAACTCAGTCCTGGAGGGCAGTCCTGCGTAGTTTAGCTCCAACATCCTTCAACACACCTGCTTGGAAGTTTTAGTATACTCAGAAAGAGCTTGATTAGCTGGTTCGGTTGTTTTAATTTTGGTTAGAACTAAAATCTGCAGGACACCAGCACTTCAGGACTGAATTTGGACACCCCTGAGATGAAAAATAATTTGGAACCATTTGAATAAAATAATTAGTAAATTGAAATATTTTCCTGAACTATCTCTTTAAATGCTCTTTAATTTAAGTCATCAGAATAATCATGATTTAAAAAAATGCTGTCAAAATGAACACTGCAGAGTTTTTTTTTATGTATTTTAAAAGTCTGATTTACATGTTTAAATACTTTTCTCTATTCTCCAGACTTTATTAAAGGATCGTAAGGAGTCTTCTCAGTTACTGATGGACGCTAAGATTATTTTCCCCGTCACATTCCCCTTTAACCCATCATCTGTGGCCCTCGAGACCCTCCAGCTCCCCAGCAGCCTCAACCTGAGCTTCCTGACCCGAGTTTAACCAGTAATGTCATCATGGCAGATGCTTTGACATGACTAATGGCTGTAGAGCCTTTGTGGACACATTCTCTGGAATTGCAATGTTTACACTTCCTGTAGAGAATATCATGTGTTTTATGAAATGTTTGTGTGAGCAGAATAATTTGTGGATCTCTGATGTGTTTCAGTATATATTGTCTAAACTCTGGATACTGCATTAAAAAATGTTGACTGCAGAAATTATTTTGTAGATATCAGTAGTTGTACAGGAACATATTCTCAGTCTTTATACATATCTTTAATATTTTTATGTCAAATTACTGCACATGAAATGGTTCATTACCAATAAAAAAGCAAATGCTGTAAAATCTCTATTTAAAAGGCACCTTTTTTTTCCAGATTTAATGTCTTTTGTGTCTCCAGAATGTGTTGAGTTTCACCTCAAAACACTCATTAAATTATTTATTAGACCTTTCAGAATGTTTTTGCTCTAAACACCATGTAGCTGTTTTTGTTGCCTGTGTCTTTAATGCTAGTTCTCCCTGCCCACCGTTCCCACGTGCCTGTCAGAGTGTGCCTCAGGCCCCGTTTACACTAATACGTTTTAGTTTGAAAATGCACAAGTTTTGCCATGGTTATGCCATCCATCCACACTAAGCCGGATTTTTTTGAGCCCTGAAAACAGAGCATTTTGAAAACGCTGGAGAGGCCATTTTCATTCTTAAACGCTGCTGCTCTGTCTCAGTGTGGATGGGGGAAAACGGAGACAACTAAAATAAACGAAGGCGGGGCTGCAGACATTCGCCTCTCTGGGGCTTTTTCCCTCAAGTAGCCTACACACACACAGTTCAGTCTTGCGTCCGTTCCTTGCAAGTTGATTTCGCAAGTTTGATATGGAAAACAAACTCTGTATTTTATAACGTCATTCACATCGCCCTGGCTATGCTGTTCCACTATCTTAACAATAAAATTAAAACATGATGTGAGGAACTGCCTATTTTAATTTTGATATTAGCAACTTAACAGACATCAAAAATGTTGAGGCGTCGTGTAGCTGCATAATATGAGCGTCATCTTCATGCATATTTATAACAAAGCGGAGCCTATGACATTACTGCCTCCTTTCATTTTCATTGCAAATACGAAACATAGCCTCTCTTTCACTGAATATCAGTTGTAATAATCAATAACGGCCATATTAAAAGTTTAACGTACAATAAGTTTACACAATAGAAAAAATAAAGGCAAGCAATCAGTCAATTGTGCAGAATCGGTGTCCGTGGTTACGCGAATTAAGATATTAACCTAACTCATCTTTGCGCTCAGCCAAAACACGTTACAGAACAAGTAATAGATTTAAAACTAAAACGTACTAGTGTAAATGGGGCCTCAGTCTCCAGCTGTGTCAGATAAACAATACAGTGACAGACATGAAGCAGATCTCATGAAAAGTTTGAGAGAAATACTACAGTAAGAACTTAACCAATGATTATTTGATGTATTTGTTGTCAAGTTAATTCAAGCCTTTCGATGAGTCACACAATGTCATTGCAAAGTTGCCGCGCAAACATTTAACTTTGCACTGTTTTTGCATGGCAAATATGACAGGATACACGTTAATATTCACTGCTGTATGGGTAGCCTTTATGTCAATGTACAAAAAAAGGGATTGAAGCATCTTCTATAATTGTACTGACACGTGGCTGTGCTGATAAAGACGGTAAAATCGTTGTAATTCATTATAAACATGCACTGTTTTATAAACGTTTTAAAACTCACTCTTGATCATCTTTGATGATCACAGAGTGCTCAACAGATCTTTTAATCCTGTTTGCTTTGCGCACATCTTGTTGATATGATTATATGCGTTACTACTGTCAATCTTCTCCAGCAGCTGCTTGATCTGAGTGTGGTCTCTGCTGTTGTTGTTGAGAACATGATATCTGTTCCCACATTTGTCCAGCAGACACTGGAGCTCCTGACCTTCACTCTCAATGTGCTGCTCTATAAATGTGTCTGACAGAGATTCTCCATAAGAGAACAGCACTATAGTGTGACTCCAGACTCTCTCACCCAGAAGACCAGATGACCCTCCATTGCTCTTCAGTAAATCTCTTTAAACACAGTGTCCACACGTATGATCAGCAGTAGAGCGTGTGGTCCTAGAGGACACAGAGACACACTGAGCAAAATCTCCTCTTTCAGTAACTCTGGACTGAACTCTACAGTTTTAAAACTTCTCCATCCTGGAGCTTCAATGACAGTGATGTGTTTGTCTGCTGCTTCTCCATGTCTCTTCACACACTGAGCAGATCTCTTCAAGTCAAACTCTTCTCTGCACAGGATGCTGTTTCCTGATGAACTCTTACCAGCAAGTCTACACCCCATCAACACAATCCTCAGCTCAGAGAGACGTTGAGAGGCACCTGCAGCAAATACAGAACAAAACATACGGATCCCAGTCAATGATGTTTCCTAACCATCCTAACACATTCTTTTTGGAGGAAACAAACACTTTACAAAAATAAGGTTATAACTACATTTACACTAATAATGAATCCCTCCTGACCGGAGTTAACTATAATCTATGAATTAGAAAAATAAATCTATTTGCTTAATAAACAGAAATCTGAAAACTGAGTAATAAATAAATAAATGTTATATAGCAGCCTTATTTGGGGCAAAAAAATTCGTGTTTTTGCAGATGCAACCACATACTCGAAAATACAAAACTGCAAACAAGCATCGTAGTTTGTGACGAACCATAGTGTAGTACAATATACTTTTACGGAGGAAAAAAAAACTTACAAAATGTTAATGTGAAAGTGACAGACAGAGTAAATAAATAACACAAGACAAAAGTTCTTGTGGTTTTAAACAAAGTATTTTTGTTAGGCAATGTTGACTATCAACAAAATGAACATAACTTTCTGAAATTAGTACTTACTTTTGCCTGTTTTACTTGACATTGTCTCAGCAAGAGTTGAGCAGGGTAGTCGCTATTTCCTTACCTGTCTGACTGAATTTACTTTCACAGCAGGTAAAAAAACATACAAAAAACTTTTACAGCAGGTTAAAAAAAAAAACTTTCACAGCAGGTGCTTCAAGTGACGCAGAGGTGCTATGGCAAGCTGTTTCATCATTTAATGTCATGTTCTGTGTTTACTAGTTGTATTTAGTTTTGGAAAATTTCAAGAGTTCACACTTAGCTGATGATTGATAGTAAAGCTAGTTTGGCGTGCTGTCCCGGGAGAGAGCCCTGAGCTTAAAAGATCCTCGAGCCCTGGGCTCCCTCCCGTTGCAAGGCGAGAGGGGAGTTTGAGCTCAGGTAGATCTCGGGGTATCTGATTAAGAAGATAATCTGATTAGGATAATCAGTCATTAGCTAAAGTTGGAACAGCTGTGAACAATCATAAGCACGTGATCCTCTCGAAATTTGTTTATGAATAAACTTCACAAAATTTCCATTTCCAGATTTATATTTTGTGGTTTGGTCTGTCCTTCTCCGCAAGGCATGGTATGAATTTGTTCTGTTGGTTTACCATACCAAGGAAACTGCGCACTTCACTGACATAGGATGGATCCTTCATCTGCTGCACTGCTTTAGTCTTGTCTGGATCAGGTCCCACCCCGCTCTCTGCAATTACATGGCCAAGGAACTTAACCTCCTGTCTGCTTAACTCACATTTTTAAAAAATCATTGTGATGCCAGCTTTTTCAATCCTGGCTAAGACTGTGTGAAGTCTTTCGTCATATTGATCCTGTGACTCAACCCCAGATGAGCAAAACACCAGTCAGTCCTTCTATGACCATTGACATACATCTTTGAAAATGCTCTGGTGCTAAAGCAATACCAAACGGCAGTCTGTTGAAAAAAAATCTTCCAAATGGACTTATAAATGTTGTTATTCTGGCTGATTGATTTGACAGTGGGATCTGTCAGAACCCCATATTTACGTCCAATTTACTGAAGATTTTGACACTACACAGAAGTCCAAGAGACTGCTCTACTGAAGGCAAAATGTACCTTTCCCTACATACAGCCTCATTCAGTTTGGTGAGGTACACACAAATATGTACTGCCCCCCAAACACAAATTTCTGTTGTTTTATGTTTTATCTGGTTTCTCTCAAGTTTTTTTTCTTCACTCGCCTCGGTGAATTTTTTTTTCCCTCTCCGCTGTCGCCTCTGGCTTGCATGGTTAGGGATCGGCAGAGCTACCCATCGATGAATTTGCTCCAGTGTTTGGAATCTTAGTAACGATTTTAAACAACACTGAACTGAGCTAAACTGAACTGAACTTAAACACTAAAAACTGAAATACTCTGTTCCAGTTACTATGACCATTTATGTGAAGCTGCTACGACACCATCTACATTGTAAAAGTGCTATACAAATAAAGCTGAATTGAATTTAATTGTATTTTTAGTAAATTCAAATGTAACCTTGACAAATGAGGGAAAGTAGTCGCCGTGCAACGATTCCACCACTTGTTGCATCCCATGTGAATGGGCCTTTACTGCTAATTAGGATATCTGTTAAAGTTTTGTGACTACATGGCCAGATTTAGATCTGTCAGGATCTCTGTTCAGACTGGGTGAGTGTATGAACAAACACTGGCAGCAGAAGAAGAAGAATCCATCATGAACACTCTTCATCCGCTGAGTTTAGGACAGAGTCTGGCAGGAGCCGGAGGAGGATTCCTGTTTTTACTCACCCATGAGCCTTCAGCAGAAAAGAACAGTGAGGGAAATTCCCACTATAACATACAGGTGAGCTGGTTCAACAGGTACACAATGAGGAACGAGGAAATGTGAAGAGTGTTTGTGTAATTCTTTCTATACTGATGTCCTTGCACTCCTCTCTGAATAAGATCTGTCTGTGATCCTAATGTCTGTGCAATTTAAACTCAACAACACTGGTTGCTGAAAGACATTTGTGTGTGTTTATTAACTTAAGTGACTTTCAGTAAACTATTAGTCAAGCAAAAGAATATAAATGCTGCTTGTATTTTCTGACTGGTGTTGTTTTGACAGGACATCGGCTCCTTCAGTGTTTGTTTATTGGATCTGGACGAGATTTCAAATTCATGAAATCTTTATTTTTTTTAGATAATATGAAATGTTTCAAAAGATTGAAAAAAAACATCTTGGCTGATTTGACTCTTTCTTCAATGTGTTTTGAAGAAAGAGTCTAAAAGACTGCACTGAACAACTACAAATGTACTCCTTTTAAGATTAACCGATTTTATTGTTTTACTTGTGACTGTTTTAGTGTCATTTCTTTAATGATTGGGTCTCTATAATGTGTTTTCATTGTGAGATTATAAGTTGTTTATAGTCACCAGACGAAGATAAGCAAATGTTGTTTTTCTTTAAATATCTTTGCACATCATCACGCCTCATTGTCTACACGCATGCTTAAGGCAAGCCATTTTAGCATTTAAAAACTTTGTATTTACTGAATGTAAAATCAATCTCAGATAGTTACAACCACATTTTAAAGTCATCTTCATCTTCAGTTGTCTTCAATTTCTTCAAATGGGGATGAACATTGATTTATAAAAGATTACATCAGGCAATATAATTATTAGATTTTACAAGTTTGTCAGAACAATAATTTTGACAAAATAAAATAAATAAAAGGTTAAGATAATCCCCAGGCTCTTAATATTATATCATTACACATTAGAAGACATTGAAAATAATTTACTAGTGTTAATTATGTTAGAGTTATCTAATTTAATTATCAATACTGATAGATAACTGTAATTAGAATTTATACATTGGCATGATGGTACATTAATATCATGTCACTCATTCTCCTGAAAACCTCTTACAGATATACTGTAACTTCATGTGTGTTTTACATATACAATCAATGTTTTACATATAAACTCATTCTCCTGCAGCTCTAAACAATAGCGACCTCAGACATTTTTCACCAAGACAACCATTCTACACACACCACCAGTTGTCACCTTTCCTCTCAAAATACACCACCAGTTGTTGCCCTTTTTTCTCAATACATGTCCATACATCTCTAGATGGTTATACAAGTTGACATGTTCATAGCAAACTTTTAAAGAATAAGAAATTTAAATCTTCAAAAGTAAAAGGCAGGATTTAACTAGTGACTTTGGAAAATGTGCAGAATGATGTGTAAAAAAAATTGCAGCTTTCCCACTTTTCACCAAAAGCAAAAGCGATCTGACTGATAGATGATAATTTGTCATTTGATATCAGTGACTCCTAATGTTTCACAGATTTAGGAGCTAGTTTATTTTTGGGGCTAAACACTCTTGAAGCACAAATTTAATGTCCTTTTTAGCAATCCCATTTATTTTGAATCTAAGATTTTCTTCTAAACTAAGAAGTGCAAGCTAGTTTTATCATTGAGATGTTTTGTGAAGGAGTTAGCATATTCTGCATGTAATTTCCAGCAAGGTGATTGGCCGTCAGCACCGGCCAGTACAAAGTGACGTCATTGAGTGTTCAGCATGTATGTGCATTATTTATGAGGAAGAGTTGGTTTAAACTTATCAGAGCACTCTATTATGAATGAGATGCAACTGCATTAATATGCATGAGCTTATTCACTTTTTAGCTGTTACAGAGCTCAGAGGAGCATAGTCCAAATGGTGTTACCAAGCACATTTAAAATCGATAGATGAAGAAATATTCAGAGACATGGGTCATGAGTGTTCTTTTTTTAAAGTGTGCCAAAACCAGTGTTGTTTCCATTTCCTCACGACATGATCAGAACAGGAGAGAGAGAGGGTGCAACCCGTTAACTTACAGTGGTCAAGTAAGTTAAAAATTTTAGTTTATATGAAAAATGGTGAAAATCCAACCCAGGCTCATTCTGAAAAAGTAGTCCTGTGTATGTTTCTGGAGACTGTGACTTATGTAGCCGGAGGTACGTATGGCTGCATTTAATTTTTTAAGCGAACGCTACGGGGGGGGTAAAACACCGTTCCTTTTCGCGCTTACCGGCTGACCACTTACCTCCGTGTGGAGGGCTTTCCCGCTGTAACCAGTTTGTCCAGTTAGTTTATACCCGACCAAGACCGGGTTTGAGTCCAGGGACAAACGGATCTATAAATCAGGTAAGACAAGAACAGAATCCAAAAATTAAAACGAACGAGTCAACAACAGGGTGAGAATGTGGTAAATTTCGAAAACGTGGTAAAAATCAGGAGGGCTTTTCTTTTTCTGGACGACTTTTGTAAATTGTTGGTTGGGTTTAAAGAAGTAAACAGGTGGGCGGTTAATTGGTAAAACTGGTTGGGTTTAGGGAAGGAGGAGGGTGGGTCAGCCGATTGGCCGGCCGCCCAGTTAATTATTTACTCAGTCAGACAGAAGGTCGGTCGACAGCAGAATCTGTTTGGTTTACATGAGAACAGCGCAGGAGCGAACGGCACTCGTGCGAGACATTTGAGATGTGAAAAAACGCATACAGCGGCCTCTCGTTGATTCGCGAAAAAAAGGCAAAATTACATACCTCCCTGGATGTATTTCACAGTCTCCAGAAACATCCTGTTTTCAGAATGAGCCTGGGTTGTGAAATCCATATTTCCCACCAGCTCATGTTGATTGATATGTCTCTAAGAATTTGTTGAGTGCATGATTAATGTTCTTTATGTTTATTCAAATGGCAAAGCAAGTTTTGTAAAAAGCACTCTTTAAGTTTTTAAAGACATACTTTAGTCAACAAGGATAAAGTTACTAAGTTTATAACAATGTCACTGCAATAGTTCAGATGGCAAATTTAGATAGCATTCTCAGATCCACTGTAAATGCTGCTCACCAAATCACTGTCTATCTCCCTGCATCTGTGTTTGTGTTGCCCGGGTGAAAGTCAGCTGTAGGGTTTGTACCGAAACTCCCCTTTTCATGCAAACCCTGCCTTCTTTCACCCATCGACACTCCGATCTTAACAAAGCTAAATACTAGCATCTTCAAAAATATTTAGTATAATATTATTTACAGTCATCATGGCAAAGATAATATAAATCAGTTATTAGAAATGAGTTATTAAAACTATTATGATTAGAAATGTGCTGAAAGAAATATTCTTTTCGTTAAACAGAAACTGGGAAAAATATATATATACAGGACGAAGAATAATTTAGGAGGGGGAAAAGTTCTGACTTCAACTTTACATCTAACACACAGACACACACACACACACATGGGCTGACCTGGAGCGTGAGGCTGGCAATAGTCCTCGAGGTCAGTCAGATCCTCTCAGAGTGTTTCAGTGCAGATGCTGCAGGCTGGTTCACCGCTGGTACTGACCAATAGCAGATGAGGCTCTGAAACATGACGAACTCGAGCTCCAATTGGACGCTTTGCCTCCACCCTGATGACCACATTGACCACCAGTCCACCATGTTCAAACTCTATAGGAGGAGTGTCGCTCCAGAGACAAACAATTCAAATAAACTGCAAAACCAAAATGTAACTGCAGTAGAAATCTGCTGTATTTAATGATCTGTTGTTATCTGGAATGTTATAAAGACCCTGGGCAATATACTGTTCTTTGAAATGTTGTTTATATATTACACAATATCATATATGCATTATCTTTTCATTAATTCTTACACCTATACATTGAGAAAATTATAGCTTTTCGTGATGCAGCTTTACAGTAAACTCAGGTATTAATGTGTTACAGATTGTGTTCAAGGAGAGCTTTAAAGACTGATAACAAAGAGAAAAGATTCAATATGTACATATAATACAAACTATACACAGCGAATAAGGATGAAAGTGTACTGATGTTTATCTAAATCTTTAGAAAAGTAGCAATTAACTGACATTTCTTTTGTTGTTAACAAAATTACTTAAAGGTTATTTAAAAAAAAAAACATCTTGAAATAAAGCTGGTATTTAAATGCTTTATATTAAATTACAATGTTATGATTGTGACTCCACCATATAATGATTCAGGTCTTCTCAATCTGCTCTTCATTCTTATCACGCTTCTTGAATATTCCTGATAAGAGTTTTGAGATCTTGGGTTTGCCGTGTTCTCTTGTTTCTGATCGTTCCACAGATTCAGTCATGGAAGGCAAAGAGACATTAGAGCGCAAAGAGCTATAAACTGAGTCCATGTCTGCTCCTCTTCGAGATCTGAATGAACCATACGCTGAACTTCCCACAGACCTCGTGTCCGAGCGCTCATCTCCACTCACTGTGAAAATACAATGAAATCAGAAAGAGTTTTGACACTCTTAAAGCAAAATTATGACATTAAATATCTTTGGTATGCACCTGATGATGCATTATTTCCCTTTACAAATCCTGACTTTTAAGGTTTGCAGATATTTTAAAATTACCAACTAAATCTATAGATTAAATATAACACTCAAACATTTAGATTGTTCAAAACAGGTATTTACTGACTAATGTGATGAGATTGAAGTAAATATAACGTATATCTTTATTATTAACAGCGAATTATGAATAAAAAAGGTCAAAATTTTGTTCAATAACAGCAACAAATGTATGACATTTTCATAAATTTAATATTCAAGTAAATTATATTAATTATATAAATTATAACTGCTGAATAAACTTTTCTGTAATCAGAGGGAGATCAGACACAATTATTACATGTAACTAATAACTTCTAAGCAGTGTTATCGAATAAACCCACACTCAGACTGGGTTACCATGACAATCTCTGAGTTATATGACACCAAAGAATGCGAGTCTTCATTTTTGTACAGGTAACCAGTGTTGGTCATAACACTGTTGCTTCTATTCATGTTTATTTATATATAGTGCTTTTACAATCTAGATTGTGTTAAGCAGCATGTTGTAAAGTTCTTAGAATTATTAAACAACTATTGCTAAACAACATTGTAGACATTAAGTGTTTGTAACAGCTGGTTTAAAGAAAGATCATTTGCATTATATTTTGGTACTTGTTTTGCATTTTAAGATTATAAATCTTTAACAGCTTCTGCATGGTCACCATTTATTGGGTAAACGTTTAAATCGGATATGCAGCAGGCCTGAAGTGCGATATGCACATTCATATAGCAGCATTTTTTATGACACTGTAAAACAATAAATAATATATTTACAGTACTGTGATGGTTGGGTTTAGGGTTAGCTAATGTGTTTCCATACTGATACACTTCCGGTGACCTCTTATTGTAATTTTTTTTCCATTTTATACGGTTCCTTTTACAGCATCGATATTGCAATGTAATTAAAATACAATCAGTTAAACAGACTTTGGCATTCATTTAGTTGCTCAAGCATAAAATGAGACAAAAAGCCGTTTGCTCGCACGCGCCTGTCAAAATCGACAGGTTAGCGCAGAAGCTCCATTGAATATACTGGGGTAAAATAAATGCTCATATTGTAAAGACATGGCTGGGGGAAATGTAATTTAATGCAGTGCTTCTTGTACAATCTGAGACCCACTTTATATAGGATATCACTCATTTTTAAAGAAAACAGACCTTAAATGTACTGATTTTGCATTGGCAAAAGACTTACAGTCCACTGGCAACAATTAACCCAGGTTACTGGCAAATTAAAAGTCCTATTAGCATGCTTCGGCATATACCCTATTGATCATGTTAGGCTGCACACAGGCCTAGCTTGCCCTAGTAATTTTTATCTTAACAAAGACCTTCAGCATTAAGTAAAGTCTTTATATCCCTGGCATTCCTAGTTCAGTGCATCGCTAAAACTCTGATCAACTAATCAGAATGGAGCAGAAATAGAACAGGGTCCTTTAGGAACCTCCAAAAGTTAGAAGACCTAATGCAAGTATCATTTAAATATTAGATATGCCAGTGCAGGAATTTCTTTGTTATATTAAGGCGATTGAGTTTTCTTTGATGATCTGTTTGGGCAACTGATGTTGAATTGTAATCCGCACTTTTCTATTTCTCTATCGCTCTATCCCTGTCTCTCTCCAGATTACATGTATGCTGTACATAAATGTATATTATTAGTATGTAACCCTAATTCTTATTTAATGTTTTAACCCATGTTTGATGGTCTGTTTCCACATACAGAAAGAGTCACTTTAAATGTGTTGACAAAACGCTAAGCAAACTGCTGGCAATTATATTTCCTGGCAAGATAAATAATTTGGTAATTAACAGTTATATTGTAAGCTCATCGTATAAGCAGATCAGTTGATAATAAATGAAATACTCACAGTCTGGTGGTGGAATATCTATGCTGTTATATCGTTTAATGGCTCCTGACACAAATCCTATGTGAGATGAATCTCTGGAGCGTGATGATCCAAAAACTGAGTCTCCTGTTCGAGATCTGAATGAACCATAAGCTGAACTTCCCAGAGACAAGATGTCAGAGCGCTCATCTCCACCCACTGTGGAAATACAATCAAATCGGATTATGACATTATTAAAAACTTTTAGTATGTTCTTTAAAATAATGTAGCCTAATCATTATCAGGTGCTCTTTAAAACACATTACAAATTATGTATCAACCAGATGAGAATGAAATTAAATGTTTTGCCTAAATTTTAGAAATATGGTAATTAATGTTGATCATACAGTCTGGAAAAATAAAGAAATACAAAAAAAAATTCACACCGATTCCATAGAACAACTGTTTTAAAATGTGCTGATTTTAAAAATAGAAAAAAAATCTAGTTAATAATAAAGAAAGTTTATGGGAATGAAAAGTTTAAATTTTAGGTTCTTTGTGGAATCATAAGTGACAATAAGAAAACATTATTTTTATGAGTGGACATATATATGAACAGTTGTTAATCCTAATTTAAATCTGATCAAAGCAAATCAAACAAAATTTTTGTTTCAAATCTAAATCTTTAAATTACTACTTGTGTAAAACTAGACACAGAAAGGGCCCAAATCTTATGGCAGAAAAAAATAAACATATAGTTGTGATATTATAGACAAATATTGTCTTTTTGTACAACAAAACAGATGTAAACAAGGACGAAATAAATCATATTAAGATAAAAGTTTATTGAAAATACTAAATATAAACTAAATAAAAACTCACAGTCTGGTGGTGGAATATCTATGCTGTTATATCGTTTAATGGCTCCTGACACAAATCCTGTGTTAGATGAATCTCTGGAGCGTGACGATCCAAAAACTGAGTCTCCTGTTCGAGATCTGAATGAAGCTGAACTTCCCAGAGACCAGGTGTCTGAGCGATTATCTCCACTCACTATAATAATGAAGCAGAGAGAAGATCAGCAGCAAGACAATTACATGAATGAATCTGACTGATCAGTTTACCTCATCCTGATTCATTCTGTTGTAAACTCTAAGTCAAATAATTCAGAACTCTCTTGTTAAACTTTGAACCTATGACACTGAAGTTCATGAGTTACTTCTATGTACTGTACATCAAAAATTTTACACGTCCATCAATCTTGACACATCAATCTACATGGGTTACAAGTTATTTGCTGTAGCTTTATGAATTATAACTCTAGTTTTGATTATTTGTTTCTAGTAAAAAGGTTGAGTTTTCCAATACTTGTGCGGCACATCAACTTCTTACAAAATAAAACTAGAATATACAGTATAATAAAACACAAATAATTATGATGATTAATTTAAATTAAAAACGATGAAATCTGGCTCTTTACTGTAGTACATTTGTTTAAAAACAGAACAAGACAGTTTTAAATGGTTAACCCTGCAGGTCTTGCTGCTTAACAAGTCTGGTTATAAAGCAATTTAGACCTTCTGAGGAAAATTACTGCAAGAGGTGTTAATGCTCATCCTACAGTGTGATGGACACTAGAAACCATTTGAAACCTACATCTGATGAGTTCCGGAAACATATGTAAGGCACTTGTATGATTTTACAATCATTTCACTCACTAGTCTGTGCTCCAGTAACTCCAAATTTGTCCATTTGCTCTTCTGGTTTTGCTCCATCACCACTCTCCTGTAAAATCTCTCTGTCTATTTCAAAATGGCCGCCGTTGTTTTGCGCCACAGTCTCTTCAATCTTCTCCAGCAGCTGCTTGATCTGAGTGTGGTCTCTGCTGTTGTTGTTGAGAACATGATATCTGTTCCCACATTTGTCCAGCAGCCACTGGAGCTCCTGGCCTTCACTCTCAATGTGCTGCTCTATAGATGTGTCTGACAGAGAGTCTCCACGAGTGAACAGCACTATAGTGTGACTCCAGACTCTCTCACCCAGAAGACCCAGATGACTCTCCACTGATTTTCTCTCAGTCTCTTTAAACACAGTGTCCACAGGTACGATCAGCAGTAGAGCGTGTGGTCCAGGAGGACACAGAGACACACTGAGCAAAATCTCCTCTTTCAGTAACTCTGGACTTTTCTCTACAGTGTCATTAATCCACCATCCTGGAGCTTCAATGACAGTGATGTGTTTGTCTGCTGCTTCTCCATGTCTCCTCACACACTGAGCAGATCTCTTCAAGTCAAACTCTTCTCTGCACAGGATGCTGTTTCCTGATGAACTCTTACCAGCATATCTAGACCCCATCAACACAATCCTCAGCTCTGAGAGACGTTGAGTGTGACCTTAAACACAGAACAAACTACACTTTATGATAAATTGTCTACAGTAATTCTGTGTGTGGCGACGCAATGGCGGAGTAGGTAGTGCTTTTGCCTCACAGCAAGAAGGTCGCTGGTTCGACCCTCGGCTGAGTCAGTTGGTGTTTCTGTGTGGAGTTTGCATGTTCTCCCTGTGTTTGCGTGGGTTTCCCCCACAGTCCAACGAAAGATTCGGATTTCTGCTTTCCAATCCATCTCATCATGAACCAACATTTATCCTTTTCTCATCATCTTGTTTCTCATGATTTTTTTTATTAAATATAATTATTTGATCATTTGATCATACATATAACTGTAAATTAATTTTAATTAATGAATAAGTTAACACATTGCTTTATATAAGAATGTTCAGTGCATTTGTCTGTCTCTTTATAACTATTTTCAAAAGCCACCAAACTAGGTCAGAGATCACAGAAACCTTGAGTGGGACGGAGGGCTGAGGACAGGAAGCAACTGTTTCTATTGTTATTTCTAGTAGTTCATACTATCTAAAATGTCTAAAGTGATTTTGCTATTTTTACGGTTAATTCTTTTAAAGTGATTTTACTTTTATTCAAGATAGACTTTTTATAGTAAGAATATAACTGCCTAAATGTAGATTACACCGGTTTTTAACCAGTTTTGATAAAGACGGCTGAGAGTACGCTCAGCCTTGGATAAGAAACAGATTGTACTTTAAGTGTGTGTGTTTTATTTGATTGTTGATCCGTTTCACAGGTCTGGAGTCAGCTCTAATCAGTCTAAGGGATGTCTGACGTTTATGTTTAGATATTGTTCAGAATTGTACGCACGGACCCCACGTGGAAATTTTTCTAGTCAATCTGTGTTTTAATTAATCAGGTTAGAACACCTCTATGTATGACGCAGTTAATGACGTTATGTGAGAGTATAATTGTTATTGATTGGTGATTGTGAGCAGAGCGGCCTAGGAACTCATTGCGAGTGCTGAAGCTGGCTTCTGCTAATGAAACTGCAAACTATCTTCAGAAAACTTGACTTATTTATTTAAATCTCTGACTCCGGCTCTTCTTTATCTACCAGACTGGTCATTCTTTAGGTCAAACTGTATACCATCCCTACACCAAAGACATGAGGTACAGGTGAATTGGGTAGGCTAAATTGTCTGTAGTGTATGAGTGTGAATGAGTGTGTGTGGATGTTTCCCAGAGATGGGTTGCAGCTGGAAAAGAATCCACTGTGTAAAAACTTGCTGAATAAGTTGGCGGTTATTCCGCTGTGGCGACCCCAGATTAATAAAGGGACTAAGCCGAAAAGAAAATGAATTAATGAATTAATGAGTTCTTTGTGTATGTAAAGCTCTGCTCCATGTACATATAAGTGGCAAACAGTCAATGTGGTCCACAGAATTCTTTTATCTCATACAGTGCTGAACAGAAACTTTAGCTTCTCAGATTCCGAAAGATTGCTGATCCTTTAAATTAAGGAAATAAAAGCGCTTTTCAAGATGTATGAATAATTTTTACATGAACATTAGACGTTCTTGTTCTTTAGACATTTAATTAAAAGCAAAATTAAAAATCCAACAAAAAAAGTCCAACATTTAGGGACAATTTATTGCATGGGGCTTTGAGACTTTTTAGATTCACAGTATAGAGCTCATAAAAATTGTATATATATTAAGGGTAAGAACTAAGTAAATAAATATTCTCCCACTATCAGGTTGATTTTCCTTCAGGCAAAGTTGAAATTTGCTTAATTATTAAATGTTTTCTGTGGGAGCATTTTCATTTTTTCATTTATTTTCTTTTTGGCTTAGTCCCTTTATCACTCTGGGGTCGTCACAGAGGTATGAACCACCAACTTATCCAGCACATGTTTTACACAGCGGATGCCCTTCCAGCTGCAACCCATCTCTGGGAAACATTCATACACTCTCATTCACACACATACAATATGGACATATCGCCTTTGGAAAGCATTCTGATGAAAATAAATTAATTAATTAACTTGAGTTCTAAATTGCGCTAAAAGGTTAAATGGATTTTGATGTAAATATGGTTGTCAGTGTTTTTAACGCTCTGCAAGTTATTTGAACTAGATCTTTCCTGAGTGTCGTCATCACTATTTTAAATGTGTGATGTGGAATAAAAATGTTTATACTTTATGATTATAATTCAACTGAGCATTGTTATTGTGAATGGGCCTGAACCCTAACTTATGATTAAAATTTAAAAGTATTGAATTGTTCAGTTTGGCAGTGAACATGATGAAAAGCAACTGTATAAAATATCTGGAGAGACCATTAAAAAATATTCAGTATTACTGAGTCTGCATATTATTGACACTGCTTTATAAAAGAGATTTTCTTTCTGTTAAAGCACTTGTAGCCCCTGAGCTTTACGTGGCCGGTCAAACTTTACAAACTTTGCTCACTTTACAATAAAATTCACTGCAAAACATCTACAGGACACTTGAACACCACTGCTCAGATTATTGTGGCTCCTGTACGATCTTTACTAGTAAAGAGTAAAAATATTATGAAAACTGAAGATTACTTCAATATCCACAGATAATATCATTCACTCACTCAACTGTGATTTGATGATTTCTCTCTGTTTCTTCATCCTCTTCTTTCGTTCTTCTGCTCTCTCTTCCTCTGCTCTTCTTCTCTCCTTCATCTCCTGTAAAATCTCTCTGTCTATTTCAAAATGGCCGCCGTTGTTTTGCGCCACAGTCTCCTTAATCTTCTCCAGCAGCTGCTTGATCTGAGTGTGGTCTCTGCTGTTGTTGTTGAGAACATGATATCTGTTCCCACATTTGTCCAGCAGACACTGGAGCTCCTGGCCTTCACTCTCAATGTGCTGCTCTATAGATGTGTCTGACAGAGATTCTCCACGAGTGAACAGCACTATAGTGTGACTCCAGACTCTCTCACCCAGAAGACCCAGATGACCCTCCACTGCTCTTTTGTAAGTCTTTTTAAACACAGTGTCCACAGGTATGATCAGCAGTAGAGCGTGTGGTCCTGGAGGACACAGAGACACACTGAGCAAAATCTCCTCTTTCAGTAACTCTGAATTCTCCTCTACAGTGTAAAAACTCCTCCATCCTGGAGCTTCAATGACAGTGATGTGTTTGTCTGCTGCTTCTCCATGTCTCTTCACACACTGAGCAGATCTCTTCAAGTCAAACTCTTTTCTGCAGAGGATGCTGTTTCCTGATGAACTCTTACCAGCAAGTCTATACCCCATCAACACAATCCTCAGCTCTGAGAGACGTTGAGTGTGACCTTAAACAGAGCAAACTACACTTTATGATAAATTGTCAACAGTAATTCTGTGTAAATCTCTGCTCCACATACATTTAATCAGTAAAAAAACCCAGTGGGGTCCACAATAGACCAAACGTTAAACATCCTTCTTCATTTATTAATTTCCTTTGGCTTAATCCCTTATTTATCAGGGGGCGCCCCAGCAAAATGAACCGCCAACTATTCCAGCATATGTTTTATGCAGCAGACACCATTCCAGCCACAACCCAGTACTGGAAAACACCCATACACTCTCACATTCACACACACAGACACACACACACACACACACTATGGCCAATTTACATTATTCAATTCACCTATACTGTGTGTTTTTGGGCTGTGGAAACTGGAGGACCCGGAGGATATTGATGTTTAGTAAAAGGTGAAATTTAAGATTTAAAGTCTCAAATTCAGGGGCTGCACAATATATCGTTTTAGCATCGAAATGACAATGTGTGCATGTGCAAAAGTCACATTGCAAAGAAATGCAATGTTGAGTCTGAATTATAGTTGACCAGAAGGTACAGCATTGTATTTAATAACGGCTATTTATATGATTTATGCAAAAGTAATAATAATAATAATAATAATAATTCTTACTTAAAAAATGGTTGTCTTGTTTTTAGTCCAAATATCTTCATTTCAAAGCAAAAACAAGATTGTTTTATTTACCCCACTAGCAAACATTTAGCTTGTTTTACGAAAAAACTTCTAATTTTCACATATTTTTATTTCTGATGATGAAAACAAAACAATATTTTTACTTGATCTAAGAATGTTTTGATATATGGATTAAAAATGAGACGAAACAAAGTGAGGAAAGCTTTTTTTGCATTGCAATTATTCAATTTCTGCACCTGAATACTGTTAGACAGTATGTGTTTGTCTCTATAGAGTTTCCTAACTAGTGAATGACATGTTATATCTGATCAGTGCGCCTTTTAGACTTAAAGAGGCATGGCTTTGGAAGGCAGTGGAGGGTCGTAAAAATTCTAAGCTATTATGTTGATGCTAGTATTCTGACAGATCACCTACTGCACCTTTAAACACAGTAAACTAAAACTGTAGAAAAGGTTTGAGATTGTTCGGTGTTCATTCTGACTCGGCTGAACCCAAGGTACTGCTGTGTACTTTGAGACTGCTGTGCAGAATAAACTTCTTAATAGAGATCTTCTACATCCTCTTCATTTTTTTCCTTATAATTCATTTGTCTTATATAGAATATATCATATATCCTCAGAATGCTCCCACAGAGGACACTTGACTGTGTCAGTTTCAGGTTTGCCTGAATTTTCCTGTATTTCAATATCCACAGATAATTTCATTCACTCACTCATCTGTGATCTGATGGCTTCTCTCTGTTTCTTCATCCTCTTCACTCGTTCTTCTGCTCTCTTTTCCTCTGCTCTTCTTCTCTTCTTCACCTCCTGTAAAATCTCTCTGTCTATTTCAAAATGGCCGCCATAATTTTGCGCCACAGTCTCTTCAATCTTCTCCAGCAGCTGCTTGATCTGAGTGTGGTCTCTGCTGTTGTTGTTGAGAACATGATATCTGTTCCCACATTTGTCCAGCAGACACTGGAGCTCCTGGCCTTCACTCTCAATGTGCTGCTCTATAGATGTGTCTGACAGAGAGTCTCCACGAGTGAACAGCACTATAGTGTGACTCCAGACTCTCTCACCCAGAAGACCCAGATGACTCTCCACTGATTTTCTCTCAGTCTCTTTAAACACAGTGTCCACACGTATGATCAGCAGTAGAGCGTGTGGTCCTGGAGGACACAGAGACACACTGAGCAAAATCTCCTCTTTCAGTAACTCTGGACTGAACTCTACAGTGTAAAAACTCCTCCATCCTGGAGCTTCAATGACAGTGATGTGTTTGTCTGCTGCTTCTCCATGTCTCTTCACACACTGAGCAGATCTCTTCAAGTCAAACTCTTCTCTGCACAGGATGCTGTTTCCTGATGAACTCTTACCAGCAAGACTAGACCCCATCAACACAATCCTCAGCTCTGAGAGATGATGAGCTTCACCTGAAACAAACAGTGAACAAAACCCATTTTTGCAAATGTATGTATTTCAGCTTCTCAGATTCAGAAAGGTTGCTGATCCTTGAAACTAAAAAAATAAAAGCACTTTTCAAGATGTATGAATATGTTTTACAGAAACATTAGACTTTTTTCTTATGTAGATTTTTAATTAAAGGCTAAATAAAAAAATCAAACAAAAAAGTCCAACATTCAGGGACAATTTATTGTACGATGGTTTGAGACTTTAGATTCAGTGTATAGAGCTCATTAAAACATTTTTAGGTTTGTGACTTGATAAAAAACAGTTTATTATTTATTAGGATACAAATTAAGTAAATAAATATTCCCCACTATCAGGTTGATTTACTTTCAGGCAAACTGATATTGACATAACTATTAAATAGCATGCTGATGAAAATAAATAAATTTGAGTTCTTAACTGCGCTAAAAGGTCAAATGGATTTTAATGTAAATTTGACTGTCAATATTTTCAGGGCTCTGCAAGTAATTTCAACAATCTTTCCTGTCATTATAATTTTTTTAAATGTGTGATGTAAAATTACGTTTTTTTTTTATACTTTATGATTATAATTTAACTGAGCATTGTTGATGTGAATGGGCCATAGCACAAACATTTAGATAACTATTTAAAATGTATTGAATTGTTCAGTTTGGCAGTGAATAAATTGAAAAGCAACTGTATAAAATATCAGGAGAGACCATTCAAAAATATTCAATATTACTGAGTCTGCATATTGTTGACGCTGCTTTATAAAAGAGATTTTCTTTCATTTAAAGCTCGTGTAGTTCCTGAGCTTAATGCGGCCGATCAAACCTGCTCACTTTACAATGAAATTCACTGCAGAACACCTGCAGGACAATTGGTAATATGATAATATTAAAAAAAAAAAAAAAAGATTGTTTCAATACACACATATAATTTGATTTTCACTCACTCATCTGTGATCTGATGTTTTCTTTCTGTTTCTTCATCCTCTTCTTTTGTTTTTCTGCTCTTTTCTTTCAGTCTTTTTAAATGCATCCTCCACACGTATGATCAGCAGTAGAGCGTGTGGTCCTGGAGGACACAGAGACACACTGAGCAAAATCTCCTCTTTCAGTAACTCTGGAATCTCCTCTACAGTGTAATCTCTCCACCATCCTGGAGCTTCAATGACAGTGATGTGTTTGTCTGCTGCTTCTCCATGTCTCTTCACACACTGAGCAGATCTCTTCAATACTCAGCTCTGAGAGATATTGAATACCATTTGAGCAAATACAGAACAAGAAATATGGATCCTAACATGCATTTTGGAGTAAACAAAAGCTTTACAAAAATATGTCTATAACTACATTTACACTAATAATAATGAATCCCTCTCTTGACCAGCATTGAACAGCATCCTAGGTTAATTATGAATTAATTAGGACTCTTATAAATAAATCAAGTGTGAATAAATAAATAAAAATTATATATTAACCTTTTTATAGGTTAATACAGAGATTCCGGTGATTCCTCTCTAAACATGTTTTGCATCGTTACAGCTAGACACTCGAAAATACAAAACTGCAAATAAACACTGTTTGTGACGAACCATACTGTAATACCTTTTCTGAGGAAAAAAAACTCTTACAAAATATGATACAAAAACTTTTAATCATACTGTTAATGTGAAAGTGAAAGTCTGACAGAATTAAAATAAATAAATGTATAACTTGGCAAAAGTTCTTGCCGTTTTAAACAAAGTATTTTCGTTAGGCTTAACTATTAACTATCAACAAAATTTACCGCAGTTTTTGAAATTAATACTTACTTTTGTCCGTTTTAGTTGATATTGTCTCAGCAGGAGTTGTGTCACAGTCTAGTCGATTTTACCTTTCCTGTCTGACTGGATTTACTTTCACAGGTGCTTTTGACGCAGTATGGCAAGCTATTTACCATTTAACGCCCTGTGTGTACTAGTAATTTATTTTGGGGAGTAAAGTTTCCATTTCCAGATATACATTTTGCAGTTTGAATTACTCGTAATTGAAATTAAGATATCTGTAGCATGTTTATGCTAGTCATAATAATACACCGAAGACACATACAATATTCTTTTGACTAGTCATGTGTTTCTACAATGCTATTGCATATAGTCATGTTCTTCCAAGGACTGATATGTACAGATTAATTTTGATGATAATTAATTTAGACATATTTTTAACTGTAATATTATTAAATATTTGAGTGTATGACAATGTAATATTATTAGAATCCAAAATCTTAACCTGACCTTTTGTTTTTACTTTTTGTCATGATTATTGCTCTGATGTAAAGCTGTAAAATCTAATAAATATATTGTCTGATGTAATCTTTTATAATCAATGTTTATCCACATTTGAAGATATTGAAGACAGCTGAAGATATCTACAGCATTATTAAAGATATTTTGGATAATACAAAATCTTGGACAAGTCAAAATGTATATACCTTTTTTACTGATCTACTAATCTTTTACTCATTTAATTTTAATCTTACTAGTGAAATTTAAATTAAGACCATTTAAAGTATGTAACATATCAATCTCAAATTAATTTAACACGCAGTAAATACTAAGTTTTAAATGCTAAAATGGCTTGCCATAAGAAGATGATGCGCAAAAGTATTTAAAGACAAAAAAGTAGATTCGTTTACTATAAAAAAACCTCATAAACCCACAATGAAAATACATTATAGAGACCACATCATTAAAAAATTACTAAAACAGTCACAAGTTGAACAATAAAATCATTTAATCTTAATGTGAGTACTTCTGTTGTAAAGTGCAGTCAAAAACACATTGAAGTAAGAGTAAAATCAGCCGAGATGTTTTTTTTCAATGTTTTTAAGCATTTCATATCATATAAAACAAATGAAAGATTTCATGAATACAATATTTACATAAAAATATTCTAAAACTAGATTTAAGCTGTAAGGCACTCTGATATAATGTTTGCTGTTGTTAAGAATGTTCAGAGCTCTTCTGAATGATTGAGATCCCCTCCATATCCAGATCCACTGAATGAACACTGAAGGAGCCGATGCCCTGTCAAAACAACACCAGTTAGAAACACACAACCTGCTACAAGCATTTATACTCTTCTCCCTGCTGAAAAATCCAGCTTAAACCATCCTAGGCTGGTTGGCTGGTTTTAGCTGGTTGACCAGCCTGGTTTTAGAGGGGTTTTGGCCATTTCCAGGCTGCTTTCCAGCCATTTCCAGCCTGGTCTTAGCTAGTCAGGCTGGAAAATGACCAGCTAAATCCAGCTAAAACCAGCTTGACCAGTCTGGTTTAAGCTGGACATAGCTGGTTTTGGCTGGGCACCCAGCCTGGCTAGGCTGGTCAAGCTGGTTTTAGCTGGCCATCTCCCAGCCTGACCAGCTAAGACCAGGCTGGAAATGGCTGGACACCAGCCTGGAAATGGCCAAAACCCCTCTAAAACCAGGCTGGTCAACCAGCTAAAACCAGCCAACCAGCCTAGGCTGGTTTAAGCAGGTTTTTTCAGTAGAGATTTGACTAATAGTTCAAGTGAAAGTAACTTAAGTCAATAACCACAAATACAAAGTTCTTTCAGCAGGCAGTGCTGTTAAGTTTAACTTGCATAGATGTTATTAAATTTAGAGAGGAGTGCAAGGACATCGGTTTAGAAAGAGTTAAACACTCTTCTTCACATTTCCTCATTCCTCTGTGTACCTGTTGATCCGGCTCCTAAGCCTCACCTGTATGTTACTGAGAATTTCCCTCACTGTTTCCTTCTGCTGAGGCTCGCGGGTGAGTAAGAACAGGAATCCTCCTCCTCCTGCTCCTGCCAGACTCTGTCCTAAACTGAGCGGCTGAAGAGCGTTCATCATGGATCTCACAGCTGCCGGCTCACAGCCCGGAGCCATCAGCTTCTTCTGCTGCCAGTATGTGTTCATGCACTCACCCAGTCTGAGCAAAGACCCTGAGAGAAATCCATTTAAAATCCAATTTCGAAGGACATCCTGGGATTTGTAATGACCACAAAGAGTCAGGACCTCGGTTTAACATCTCATCCGAAAGATGGTGCTCACTGAGCAGTATAGAGTCTATTTCACTTTACTGGGGTGTTAGGACCCACACAGACTGCAGGTTGAGCGCCCCCTGCTGGTCACACTAACACCACTTCCAGCGGCAACCTAGCTTTCCCATGTGGTCTCCCAAACAGGCACAGGCTTGTTTAGCTTCAGTGAGCGATCATGTGAGAGTTGCAGAGAGCTAGCTGCCAACGTGATTAACACAGCTGCCGCGCAGCTCACAAAAAGAATCAATATTTCTATTGTGATGTAAAAGCATTAGGATTTTGGGTATCTGTGCAATACTTAAGCTCCGCCTATGCATTGACAGTAAAATTACCAGTGATGGTTTGCCGCTTATCACCCCATGTCCCATGTAAAAAGGCCTTATGAGTTTTATAGTTACGTAAGTTTTTTGTAAGCAGTTTTAGATGTTTTCTCTTAAAATCCATTCACAAAGCTGCTCAGACATGTTTTTACAAAAGAATAGAGAAAGTTTGAAGATGAAGGTAAAGGCGGGATTTATCTAGTGACTATGGATGATGTCAGCATGCTTATGAACTATTTCCACAATGATTGGCTAATAGGGAAAGGGGTCTCTGTTAGAGATCTATTCATATAAATATTGTAGGGCATGGTATAATGGCGCTTTTTTCAAATCAATGTTTTAAAAAAATAGATATGTCACTAATTATCTCCATGTCGATTTAACTGTCAGCCCCTTACATGTGCACTTCTAGCAAACAATAAGCAAATTTATCTTTCTAACAAGATAAATCTTTCTGTCTTTTTTCAGGCTAAATATATTCTAAATAAATTGCAACTGTGATGCTAAATAATCAAATATTTTGAAATAAAAACATCTAAATATTTTATTTAAAAAAAGTATATATATATATATATATATATATTAGGAAATACATTTTTATAAACAGCCTTTTAATAAAAAGTTATATAATCATAGCATTTTGAAAGACAAACATAATTCAATGCAAACATTCTTTCCTTTATTTTCCTTTGGCATAGTCCCTTATTTATCAGAGGCATCACAGCAGACTATTCGGGCATATGTTTTACACAGTGGAATGCCCTTCCAGCCACAACCGCCATTACTGGGAAACACCCATACACTCACATTCACTCACAGACACATAGTCTAACAGTACAACAATGCCAACTAGCCCAGCAAGGACTCGAACCAGTGACCTTTTTGCTGTGAGGCGACAGTGCTATGCACTGAGCCACCCTAATGCAAACGTACATTTATTAAAAAAGAAAATGCAAGAACAGCTGTTGCTTCTCGCCAAAGAAACTGATGAATGAACACAAGGAAATAATCAAATCACAAAGTGGAGTTGGGATAACCTCAAAAAACCACAAACAATCGAAGCCTGAGATGATGTGTAAAGAAATAATTGCAGCTTTCCCATTTTCCTCCAAAAACCAAAAGCAAACAGATTGATAGTTTGTAAGTTGATATCATTGACTCCTAATGTTTCACAGATTTAGAGGCTAGGTTTCAGTTGGATGAACTAAATTGGCTGTAGTGTATAAGTGTGTGAATGAGAGTGTATGGGTGTTTCCCAGTACTGGGTTACGCATCTTCAGTGAAAAACATATGCCAGAATAGTTGGTGGGTAATTCCACTGTGGTGACCCCTAATAAATAAGGGACTAAGCTGAAGAAAAATGAATGAATTAATGTTTTGTGAAATCACCCCCTGCTTTATGTGTGTCTCACCGTCTCTGCAGGCTTCAGCACACTTCTCTGCATTGCTCACCAGCTGCTCTGCGTTTTGTACGATGGAGGGTAAACGAGCATACCAACTGCGCACCACGTCCTGCACACACATACACATACAGTGACCCAATGAAAACTCCCACACTCTTCATCATGTCTGCTGGTCAGCATCAGCCGCTTGTACCTGCAGCAGGTTTCGTGCTAATCGTGTCTTTCCAGTGTAAACCAGCAGAAGATGCTGCTGCAGGACAGACAGGAAGTGTGGAGTCAGAGAAATCGCCTCTACTTCCACTCGCAGCGGCAGCTGAGCTGCAGATCGGGCCACTTTCACTCCGCCAAACAACCCGCCGACCTGGTCCTGCCATCCCCCACCTGAAAGACAAGGCAAGTTTTGTTTATATAGTACATTCACAGTGATAATTCAAAGTGCTTTAATAGATAAAAAGAACTTACATAA